CCGAGATTCTTGCCTGCCCAAATCCTTTATATTGGTATCTATTTCCTAGGTCTAGCCTTTACAGTAATACTGTCAAAGATTCATGTTACCTTTCTGCTCAGAATTTCTAAGTAGGCTTCGGCTTTTTAGTTTTACAGATTTACACAGCCTAAGGACTTATTTTAGGTTTGCACCACCCAGTACTGGTTTGCATTTCTCTGTATAATAGGTTACACAGATGCCCAGACCTGTCAGTTATACTGGTGCGACCATAGTTACAAGTATCCTATCTTAACTAATCAACAAAATGCTGTCACCGTAATATCATCTATATATTACATAAGTGATTATCCAAATTTCATTATTAGTAGGTTTTGAACTCACAACCTACCACTTGGGGGTATGACAGCTTAACCACTTCACTAAGTTGCCACACTCTAAAAATGTTTTTTATATTATTTTACATATAAAATAAATTGTTTTTTAAATTTAAAAAAATTTTATCAGAATAATTTATAAAAATGCTGCTAACTTGTCCTCTGGGTGACATAATCTGATCATGTGATAGCAATAACTCAGTAATATAACCCAATTACATGACAATGCTAACTACAGATGATATGAATACACTACTCAATAATGTTTATCTTAGAACATTAAAGATAGTTTTATAGATGAAACTTTGAAATGCAAAGATTTTTGTTTTAACTAAGCTATTACATATTTTGTTAGTATACTAATAATATACATTTGTACAACATTATATATATGCAATTTTACAACAATAGTAATAAACAACAAATATTATATACTGTACCCAATACTTGTGTGATAGTATAAGTGAAACAAATGCTTTATTTAAAATTTACTATTACAAATTCGAATATGTTAGAGTATAATGGTTTGCTTGTTTATATTTATGATAGTGTCTAATATGTTTTGGATTGCTATCGCTAATATTTTGATTTAACTCATTATTGTAATTATTGTTATTTAAAATCTAATTGGCTATATTGTCATAAAGAATTCTCTTTTTTTTTAATGATTCTTCACCTTCTAATTTACAATAGTTTGGTTAGTGCCTTTTGTGCCTTACACATATTGGATTATCAATATCTAAATATTCATTATCATCAATATTCTTTTGTTGCCTTTCTAAATTATCTTTCATTATTTCAATAAACTTTTCTAAGTAATTAATGAATTCATCAACTTTATCAACCTGGACTGCATAGTCAAGTACTTTTTTCACATAGTCTATTCCAAAACTGTATTTTTGTTTAGGATTTTGTTTTTGCACAATATGAGTTGTCTTTTTGATATTTACAAAGTGGTTGAATTGTAATAGTTGAGAAGAAAGTTGGTCTAATTTGTTTGCACTAATTTTATATATTGGTGTCAAGTAATGAATTTGTTGGTCAATATAGCTTTTTCTATCATTATACTATTGCTTTGGAATTAGTGTAATATGAAAGCATGTGTTTTGAGAGTAAAACATGATTCTAAAAAAGTGTTTGCAAACAATGCCCTGATTGATAAGCCAAAGACAGGTGCATAAGTGAGAACTATTATTAAGCAAAACAACATACTAAGGCAATGCCTGCTAAAATTGATGCCTAACTACTTTCTATACTTCTAGAACATGATCTGATATATTGTCAACTAATGATAAAAATAATGCTTGTAGTTGGTTATAATCATTTTCTCTACCTTGTGATTGGTTATAATCATCTTCTCTATCTACCATCTTCTAAATAAAAAAAAAAAACTTGAGCTATATAATACTCTAATTTACTAACTTAACTCTAAACATATATTTAACTAACTATTACTTCTAATAATAAAGTTCAATTATTTACTAATTATGCATCATAGCAAAGTGATTGTGATATCTGGTTATGCTGTTTTTGAAATATTTGTGGAAAAAGATAATTATGCAATAGCTTATTTAATTCAGAAAAGTATTCCTCTATTATATTAGGCATTTTTTTTGTTAGTATTTCATTTTTATTAGAGTTTAGAACCAGATAACACTCAACCGGATGAACCGAATCAAAACGGGTCAACTGTGTCTTCGATTTTTAACCCGGGTCAAATCGGTTAGACATATACATGTAATTAGATAGAGAAATATACTCTAACTAA